AGCTCTGGTTCCTCTTTAGGTGGTGATGCCTCATACCACCTTTCCCACAGTCACCTGGGTGATTTTTGTCGAAGTTGATCCTGTGATGATGCAGGCCGCCAGCATTGCCGCGGCCCCCGGGTGCTTCCTGTGTTTGCCGATGCGGCCGTGGCCGTGGCTCACGTGGCCCCGAAGTTTTGGGGTCTTCCTCAGTCTGGATGGCATGTCGGCGGCCGAGCTGCAAGAGCCAGGCCCTCTTTTTATCCTTCATCCTGAGGTGACAGTTGTCATTTTGATGGTCCCCATATTGAAATAAAGCACAAGTGTAAAATCACAGCCTAGATGTCTTTTCTGATATCAGCGCTCTGTTCGAACTGCCTCCTGGATGTTTTCACAACACATTCTTTGAGTCCATTTTTTTTATCCTGTCTTCCAACCACCATAAGCCCCATGGTCCTCCAGGCCTCAGTGTTCAGTGAAGGAATCTCCATCTATTCTTTTACACTGTCCAGGAAACCAGGCATAATCCACCCTTTCCCTCTCAACCCTGTGTCCAACCTTAGCAACCCCTACTGACTTCCCCTAATATGTCTGTTTGTTCATATCTATGCATTTCCACTCTGGTCCAAGCCAGGATCTCTCACTTAAATTACTACCCAGCCAGTGGTCCTCCAGCATCCACTACTACACAGCCAGTCTGTCCTCCAACCTCAGCCAGAGCGGACTTTCCAAAATACAAATCAACCAATTAATCTCTCTCCCTCCCCCATGCCCACCGAGCCTAAAACACTTAATGACTTAGATGAGGAGAAAAACTCTTACATGGCCTTTGGGCCGCTGCATGGCGCAGACCTGGTTTTCCTCTCCAGCCTTATTGTCTTCCATGTCCTTCACTTGATGACCTTTTGGGTCCTCACACAGTGCTCTGTCTTGTGACACGGAGCCTTGCCTTATGCTGTTCCCTTGCCTAGAAGGTGCTCCCACCCACTAACCCAGCCGTGGGCAAACTACGGCCCGCAGGCCCGATCCGGCCCGTTTGAAATGAATAAAACTAAAAACAAAAAAGACCGTACCCTTTTATGTAATGATGTTTACTCTGAATTTATATTAGCTCACATAAACACTCCATCCATGTTTTTGTTCCGGCCCTCCGGTCCAGTTTAAGAACCCATTGTGGCCCTCGAGTCAGAAAGTTTGCCCACTCCTGCACTAACCCATTCGTCACCTGGTGAAGGATTCTACTGACCCTTCGGATCTTGGCCCCTCTGCGTCAGTTCTGTCACAAGCTTTCTTAGCCCATGTTAAGAAACTGCATGGCATGTGTTAGAGGTGGTCATTGTGCATTGATGTTTGTAATTTTGTTGACAAATGTCTGTCCTCTTCCTCAGTGGTGTAAGCTACGTAAAAGCAGGAACTATGGCTTTTTTCTCAATTGTTGTATCCCAGATACAGTAACGTCTAGATAAAGTCCCCAGAAATAGTCATGTCTAGTGCACAGTGCTTTGTGCCTAGTACACTCAATATGTATTTGAATAAGGAAGTAAATAATTTAATTTGTTATTGGGTGTCCCCTGAAAATTATAAAGGCAGTGTTTATTAAAGCAGCGGTCACCAACCAGTGGTCCGTGGACCACTGGTGGTTCATGAGGTCCGAAAGGTTGGCAACCGCTGTATTAAAGTACATTTCATTTTTAAAACATAATAGAAATAAGCGGTTAAAGTGTATATACATTTTGGGGGGATACCCTATACGTCCTGTTAATCTGCATACAGTGTTATACTGCACCTCTTTTGGTGGTACGTAAGATTAGGTTCCCAGGACGCTATCCCGAGACCCTCACAGTCTCTTACTAAGCAATGGTTAACTGATGGCTAAATGGCCCTGGGCGGGAAGCTTCATTGATTAGAGTGCCATCCCGATATGCCAAGGTTGCAAGTTCAATCCCTGGTCAGGGCACATACAAGAACCAAACAACAAATGTATCAATAAGTGGAACAACAAATCCATGTTTCTCTCTCAAATCAATCGAATAAAACAAAATAAATTTTTAAAAAAATTTTATTCAAGCACTTCTTCCAAAGGCCTCCAGCATATCCCAAAATGGTGGCAAGTGCTATCCATTTTTCTTTGAAAATAACACCCAACTAAAGCCCTGTGCCTCGGTTCGGGGCAGAGCTTCTTAGAAGCATGGTGGCAGCTCAGTTTCAGCAGCATCTTTCACAGACTGAATTTCACAGCTTCTGTCATTGGCCTCTGGAGTCCAAAGCTTCCTGGAGCTCTCTTTGCAACCAACCTTTTAAGTTCTGAAAGCACCCCCTGACTTTAAAACTATAGGTTTTAATTTCCCTATAGAGTTCTTTCTGGGGCTGGGCTCTGTGAGATTACTATTTCCCTGGCTTCCCTGGCAAAGTTATTATTTTTTCCTAGTTTTCAGCATAAACACTTTATTACTCCCCTGTCTTAATTGCTGACCAGACACTCCCACGGGTCCCCAAGTACCATCCCTGGCATCTCTCTGTTTTACAGACCACTTTACTGTCCTCATCTTGTTTTTTGCCTGACTGTGTCTGTAGATTAATTTGTATGATGATTTGTTTTGTTTTGTCTTGTTTTGTTAATCTTCACCTAAGGATATTTTTTCATTGATTTTTAGAGAGAGTGCAAGGGATGGGGAGAGACAGAGTAAAACATCGATATGAGAGAGACATGTCGATTGGTTGCCTCCCACACATGCCCCGAACAGGGCTGGGGATTGAGCTTGCAACCAAGGTATGTGCCCTTGATGGGAATCAAACCCGGGACCCTTCAGCCCATGGCCTGACACTCTGACCACTGAGCAAACCAGCTAAGGCTGTATGATGATTCCTCAAAGTGAAAGCTAATGGGTAAAAAGAGGTTGCCTTGCCCACCCCCATGGGACCTCTTTTGTCTCTTTGGAGGATCATTCTCTATTCCCTGATCCCAGGGAGCTCAGCCTTGAGCCTGGCTTCCAGATAGGCCTCCTGGCTGTGGGCGCCCCCTTAGCCTGTCTCCTGGCTTATGCTGGAGCCCCTCTTCCAAGCAGGGCCCTGTGGCCCAGGGCTACGGAGGGGGGATGGCCAGCCTCACATCACATGGCCCAGGGCTACAGAGGGTGGATGGCCAGCCCTCACATCACGTGGCCCAGGGCTACGGAGGGCGGATGGCCAGCCTCACATCACGTGGCCCAGGGAAAGGGATTGCTTCAGCTTGCTTGTTTTATCCTTTGCCTCTGGAACTTGGTCTTTCAAAATTCGTCTTTCCATCAGTACTCAGTTTAAAGAAAATGTAAAGGCTCCCTTGTTCATTTAGACCTTTTTAAACTGTTTTTATTTAGTCAGACTTTGGCAGGAAACCTTTCAAGCTGAGCCCAGGGGGGAAAGTGACCATTGGCACAGAATTCAGCCAATGCTTTTGGCCTAAGATTGCTTCTATTTTTATTTTGTTTCTTGTTTTTGTTCACATCCAGGCCAAAGATTAAGCACTTTCACTTATCTGGTAATGGTGAGAGGTCTTTAGACTGCTCGCCTGTGGCCAGGATACCGCATGCTTAAAACTGTTAACCCCCAGCTACCTCCTGGGAGATAAGATCTCTCCGGTCAACTTGGCTTCCCCAAAAGGAGGCTCTGTGCTTCTACTTGACCAGAGAGAGAGAAAGGGGAAAGATAAATCCAGCCATGGCTGGATTTTGAAAAAGGATAGTAGCCTAATTTATGGAGGTTGTTTTTTGAAAAAACTAACTTTATGTCATAATTTCTCAGCTGCCAAAAGACGTAATTCTACCTCGGCTTTGCCTTGGCAACCTGCTTTTGGCAGCCCGAGCAGCCCTGTCGTTGCTCTGCATTATTTAAGCAGTAATCTTTAAGAAGGTGAGAAACTATTATTGCTTTTTAGCACAGTTGACATGATATTGGCGCGGACTCGTACCTAGAGCTTCAAACATTTCTGATGGCGGTAAACCAACTTAAACACCTCCGTGTAGAGGTCTCGCTGCCATGAGGTCATCGCTTGCTACAAGGGGAGAAAGAAGAAGATCAAATGTTGTTTAAAAGGTTGTTGTGGGGTTTTTTGCTTTTTAAGAATTCTTATTTCACGGAGTTGTAGCTGTAGATTCTGGCCAGGATCCAGACCGTCAAGATTTAGCATCTTGACCAGCTGTGATCTAGCAGTGTTCCTCAGAGGAAACATTTTGTAGGAGGGAAAGACACATATTTGAGACTGCGAAGTGTACTCTTTCCTAATACTTTACAGAGTGAGACCTGCTTGTAGACAGATAACACAAGCACAAGTGACTGAACGAGAACAGGAAAAAGTCTTCTCACACAGCTCCGAATGCACCCCCGCCTCAGGAACTTGCTTGATGTGGGAAGTTTTTATTTTCCCTTTATTTTATTTCCCCCTCAAGTCTCCACATGTATATCATTTTGTGTCAGAATGTGTTTCTGTTCATCATTCATGCCTAAATGCAGCAGCATTCCTGTAACAGCCCAACAAGTCTTAGGAAGCCAGAAACGCCACAGGAGCTTAATATGATGTAGGAGAGAAGGAAAGATACCTAGCCACTTGACCTAAAAATTATTCTGACTCTCACTCCTCCCTCAAACAGAAATAGAGGTCAAGTGTAGGTGTTCTGGTGGCAGTCCTAGGGCCTGGGAGAGAAGGGAACTCACATTTATTCAGTCAGTCTGCCTTTGTTAAGTTATCTCTGTGCCTCAGTTTCCTCATTTGTAAGATGAAGTTGGTGTTCACAATTCATAGAGATGTGAGGATTAAATGAGACCATGTATGAAGTTAACAGTGGACTTTCTTACCCCATAGTACTTCATAAATGTTAGTTGTTACTGTTCTATTCTTAATAATAATTTATAGAGTACCTACTCGTTGTACTAAGAATTTTGCTTGTATATCTCATTTAATTCTTGCAGTAACAGCTGTTGGATGGATATACCCAATTTACAGAAGAGGAAACTGGTTCGGAGTAATGACGTCCTTCACCAGTTTCTGTGCTTTGTAATGGTGGAGTTGCATGTGGAGCTCTGGAATATTACTTAGGGGAGATGTGGAAATGAGAACACATTTTGGACCAATGCTTTCTTATCTTGTTTGCTCTCTCCCAGTCCCTTTTCTGTAAAAGGAGCCTGTAGCTTTAAGCAACAAAACCAGCAAAAAAAGAAAGAGGAGGAGAAAGTTGTGGGGGCAAGGATGACAGAGAGGAATGGACTGGGTTCTACTGTCTCCAGGTTGGCTTCCTGGCAGGCATTTGTGTAAAGGCTATAAAAGTTCGAACGTGGTTCTCCTCGGTGACACTGGGGAAATAGAGAAATTCTGCCTCTTACACAAACTCTCCCCCTGAAGCTAAATTCATGCAGAAAAAAATGATGCATCAGGGGTTTGGGGACAACTGGAATGTACCACAAAGGATTCTGGGAAGTTCTTATAGTCCCTAAGCATTTGGTAGATCGTGTAAATAGAGGCAGTTTGAGCATTTCTACTTCATTCAAAGCTTTCCCCACCCCAGGTCCTCAAGAAAAAAGAAAAGAAAAAATGGAATGAAGTTTCTTGTTGGGCAGGATAACTCTTTTGATTGATTTAGTACTTCTTCTCCAAAACTCTTATACTACCCTTAATTCTTTATCCGCTTCTTGCAGCTAGCTCCCTGGTGCACAGAAGTGGAGATGGGGGTGGGTGGGAAGAGTGCTGATTGTTCCTGTTTAACCAGTGTTCTGTGTAGGGGAAAACAGGAGAAGGAAGGAGTTCTATATTCTGGTCTTTCCTCTGCTCCCCATTACCCTATGTTTCTGCCCAAGACATAAACGTCTTTGAGCCTCCGTTATCCCTTCTGTAAAACACTTTGGGAATCCGAAGCCCATGGAAGCTAATAATAATGACAGCAACCATCGGTATAGCTGCCAGGCATCTTGCCAAGGATTTGAAGCACATCGTTTTATTTACTCCGTATTGCAGCCCAACAATCCATTTTACAAAGGAGAAAACTGGAGCACAGAGAAGATAAGTGACTGCCGACAGTCATATAACTAATACTAGTAAAAGGCGAGTGCAGCCTTAAGTCATAACTCCAAGGAGGTTCATGGTGGTGGCAGAGCTAGGAATAGAATCCAGGTCTTTGAATATCCTTTCTCATCACCGTCCTTCCCTCCAGATACAGCTGAAGGGAGAACAGAAGGTAACTGACTGCAATACATGAGGACTGGCCGAATGAGAAAGAAATTAATCACCTTAGTTTGTAGACATCAGAGAAGATTTGATCCAAAGAAGCCAAATTTAAACCAGACTGTCCTCCTCGTCCTCTAAACTCCAAACCACTTGGCTTTTCCCCATCACGCTATTGTTTGTGACCCTAGGATATCCTTTTCTACTTGTAGCAGTGGGTTTATCATTAAGTAATGTAACAGCCCGGATGTGGTTCAGTTATTCAACCGTCTGTGCTGTGTTTTCACTAAACCATGGCCTAGTAAATTTGCAATTACAATATCTCTGGGTTGTTGTTTTTTAATAAATTCCTTTTAATTGCAGCATTAAACCCCAGATGTCATGTTTCCAGGTTTCCAGCTTGGAGCTAAGCCAAGCTGGAAGACACATCTACTCAAGGCAAATGGCTGAGGAGGAGAATGTGTGCAGTGAACGGGGGGACTCAGTTCAGTTGCGTACACCTCAGGCTCCGTGCCCCCGAATCTGTAGCCTAAGGCAGGAGTGGGAGACAGAGCAAAGTTCCCACGTTTCCTGCTGCCTCTGCTCCTCCCAAACACCCACGTTCACTCTGGTTGTTTCTAAGAGTAGAAATTCCCTCTGAGTCACTCATCACAGCTTAAATTGCATACTAATTTCATTTGATAAATAAATTGTCAGCAGTCTTTAAGAACTGGTCATGTAATTAGGAAATCTATGCGTTTCGACCTCTTCTTCCATCTAGATGAAATAATCACAAAGCCAGACTCTAATCAGACAAAAGGAATTTTGAAACCTTCTGGGCCTTCTTTTTTGATCTATTATTTGCCTTTTTTAATTGCTACCTTTTACCTTTTTAGGCAATACTAGAGATAAAATACTTCTTTTCTTTCTTGTACAAATTTAGCTTCCACTGAAATGTGAAGTGAAGGTTTCTTCTGGACACCTATTAAATATGAAAATCAAATGTTATTAAAAATGTATGCTTTGTGTTTTTATACAGAGATGCTCACAGCAGTCTCTTTTTAAAATTTATTTTGGTTAACATTTTAGATCTTCATTGTTGAAAGTGTTACATATGTCCCCTTATTTCCCCCATTGACCCCTTCTAGCCCGCCCCCACCCTGCCCTAGGCTCACAGCAGTTTCTTAAGAGTAAGATTTTAGAAATACCCTTAATCTATAAAACTAAGGGAATGATTAAGCAAATTACAATATTCTAGTCAATGGAACAACCATTTAGAATTGTTTACCAAGAGATTTTAATAACATCCAACAGCAGACTACAGAATTGTATATACCTACCACAAACACAACTTTAGGTTTGTTTGGTCTTTTAAAGTTAAACACACACATAAAATCAAAGTCTGGAAGGAAAATATTCAAAATTAACAGTGGTTATTTGATGGGTAATAGCCTCGTGAGAGATTTTTATTTTTCATATGGTTTATTTTTTTTAATTTTCACTGGAAAATTATTACAATAATTAAAAATGCATGTGTGTTTGTATATATTTTAATGTAATCATTCAACACTTCAGCTGTTTGGAACTCAGCTATCTTAAAAATCTGGAACATTGCTAAGATCCTGGAAGTAATAAAAAAATCAATTCTGAGCAGCCAAAACTAATGTTACAAAACTCATAATAAAGCATACTGTGCCCAGGACATCTGCTGGCCCATCACTCCAATCCTGTTTACTCTTACTTTGCACACAATTCTTAGGACATCTACTTTACAAGAACACAGCGAATCAGAAGCAAACATTAGAAAAAGAGAAGCCCCTGTAGGGAGAGGTGGATGCAGCCACACTGCCATTGACAGTGAGAGAGGACATGGGGAAGCTGAAGTGCAGTGTAAGAACTCTCAGACTCAGATCCTAGGAAACAGGCCACTGAAAATCCTGTAGTCTCTTTACTGTGTCGTAGTTTAGTAATACATGTTCATAGTGATGACCCAGAGTTATGAAGATACCTTTATTGGCCCTGGCCGGTGTGGCTCAGTGGTTGGGCATCGTCCCTTACACTGAAAGGTGGCCTATTCAGTTTCTGGTCAGAGCACATGTCGAGTTGTGGGCTTGATCCCCCATAGGGGGCGTGCAGGAGATGGGTGATCAGTGTTTCTCTCACATCGATGCTTCTCCCTCTCTCCCTCACCCTCCCCCTCTCCTTCCTCCTCCCCCTCTCTCTAAAAATCAATTAAAGAAGACACCCTTTTTGTCCAGCTTACTCTTTTTAAAATTATAAGAAATACATTTATAAAAATTTGGAAAGGTTTTATTGCACATGGCTAAAAATGATAAAAAAAAGACAAACGTGACGATTAAAGGGTAAACTTTAGACATGTAGACTTCTTTATGCCTGTCCATAATAATGCATTTCCTTGCCCTTATTAAGAGGCAACATTTTACTGTTACTAGAGTTTTCCAAATTGTATCTCAAGCTATCGTTACCTGGATTCTCATAAAAAATCCAAGGAAACAGGAGAAGAATATCATAAAATCAGGATATCAGAAAATATCAGTCTCTACCTCTCAAAAGCCTAAGAATACACCCTTAAAAATGGGAGTAACACCCCAGAAGTTAGATATACTAGTAGGTTGGACGAATTCAATGAAAAGGCCTGTAGAATGGCATGTACTGGTAGCTTGAAGTCTGGCGTATCATTGGCTTTTAGCAAATCTTAGTTGAATTTGAATATGATTCAAATTGTGGGATGAGACAGACTGTGTGTGTTCTAGAGTCAGACTGAATCTCGTTCTGCACCTTAAACCACAGAACCCACTCACCTGCCTGCCTTTTTCACAGGGTAGATGTGAGGGTTCAACATTCTGGATGCTCAGGAAAATGGGATTTCCCTTCCCATTGGAGTTGCCAGGAGGGATGTCACACTTTATTACTTTTCTGTTGTGCAACATTGAGGAGAGCTTTCAGGGAGTCTCAGAACCCTAGAGCAGCGGTCGCCAACCTTTCGGACCTCACAGACCACCAGTTGGCGACCGCTGCCCTAGAGGACTACAAAACCCCTGTCCTCTGTGCCATAAGCCCTGCTGCTGCACCCTGGTCCATTTCTCATGCTCTGCCTTTCATCAGCCTAGGAGGGAAGCAGGGCAGGCTGGGGTGGGGGAGGGGAGGCGTCGGCGGCAGGGGAGGTGTCATGGCATTCACCCTTCATAACCGAGAGTGTGAAGCACCAGGCGTCTAGTTCCATGCCACACTGTCACCTCCCTGTCCCAGCCTGGTCACCTGGTGCTTCCACGCCGCCTCGGCCGGGTGGGAACAGACGGTGGTAGTGCTGGTGCTCTGTTTCGGTTTGATTGCCTAGGCTCCCTGCAAAATCACTTGGAGAGGGACAGTCAACAAGTGGGAGAGTGAAAACTACAAGGTTCGCAAAAATGTGTGGCTTGCCCCGTTCCTGGGAGTTTTGACAACATACTAACTGAAAACCTAAATTAAGGCCAGCAGGTTTTGCTCTGTTTTTCTTGAGAACTAAAAACAGTAATTTACCGGTGTGCTTGCCCGGGTCTATGCACCCCGCAGGCCACCCCTAATTATGAAATCTCTCCTGGCACCAACACTTAGAGCCAAGCAGGGTTATCTGGCGGACCTGGGGATGAGCAGCCTGTGGTTGCCTTTTCTCAAGAAGAATCAGCCTTGCTCAGGTGTCTGAGATCACAGGGGTAAACCAGCATCAGGAAAAACACACACAAAACAAACACAGACAGGGAAGGAGCAGGGAGCTGGTTCAAGGGCTGTGGCTGTGGACACAGGTAGAAGGAACCCTCGCTCCTTTCTTCTTTTTCAAGACACATCACTGTTGTGAGTTTGAAGCGTTTTATTTCAGTAACTGGATGGCTCTCTCCTACAAGCTCGGAAGCTCCTCACAGGCAGGCCTGCACCGTCTTGCATTTGTTTCCCGTCCCCCAGGCCGGGCACATGGAGTAGCTGTTTGTTAGGCGGGTAGAGTCTCAAGGCTAGCCTCTGCTCCTGCTGGTAGTTGCCCTTGTGCAAACAGCCTCGGTGTGTGTGTGTTTCCTCACCTGCAGAACACACGCGTCTAATGATCTTGTGTCTCTGCCTCCCTCTGTCTCTGGACCCAGCCTGTTCCTATAGTTGTATTGAAGCTGACTAGCTTCATCCAAGTGTAATATCAAGAATTGTGATCAGTCCTCTAGGGTGGTTTTACTAGCACAGTGTATAACATGACCATTATTTCCAGGGTCTGAATACTCTCTTTCCATTAACTAATTGTTATTTATTATTTCGGACTTAAGAGCAGTAATGTATACTCTGCTTTCTTGACAGGGTTTTTGTGAGGACCAAGTGAAATGATGTGTATGGAATTACTTTAGAAACTAAAACTTGTATCGCTTAAGAATGATTATTATTGCTGGCCCGAAGTATCTTCCTGAGAAGTAACTCAAGTCTGAAAGAAGGCACTTAAGGCCAAACTTGTAAAATGTGTGTGAGCAGCTTGTAAAGGAGAAGTCGTTTCCCAGATTAAATTTTCATTAAAATATATGTATATCCTTGATCCTCTCTCTGTCAGTTCTCTAATCCAAGGTGATTAGCATTTGGGTATTGGAAAAGCTATTGATCATCACGTCAACAGTCATGAGTTCTGGTCTAGCCTTGCCATGGCTTCACTGCAGTACCATGAGCAAGTCACTAAACTTCTCTGCCAAATAAGGAGACCTGCTTTGTGAAGATAAAATAAGTTGAATATGAAAAATAAGAATAAGAATATGGCCCAGCTGGCGCAGCTCAGTGGTTGAGCATCGACCTATGAACCAGGAGGTCAGGGTTCAAGTCCCAGTCAGGGCACATGCCCAGGTTGCTGGCTCAGTGTGGGGCGGGCAGGGGGCAGCCGATCAATGATTCTCTTCTCTCCTATCCTCCTTCCCCTTTACTCTCTGAAATCAATAAAAATATGTTTTTAAAAAGAAAGAACAAGAATATGGATAGCCCTTCAGATGTGTAAAGTTGGCTGCATCCTTTATATATTGTTCTTTCTAGATCCAATCCCTCCAGTGACTGAAACGCTTCCCCGTATGACACGGTTTCTACCCCCATCCTACCCTGGGTGTCCTCCTGGATATATTTCATTATGTCCTGATCCTTCTTGAAGGAAGCTCCCAAAGTTGAACTCAGAACGCTTTGGGTTGTTTCTTCCCTTCGGGCACTACAGTTTGTACTAAGAATAATTATCAATTTTTATTAACTCAAACCTAAGCATGCTATTTCCTGTCTCTGGATCAGAAGGCTTAAACTTAGTTCTGAAGTTGGAAGTTAACTTCTCCTTTTTGTTTATCTTCTAGCGACAGACATCACACCTCCAGTGCAATCCCTGTTCCAAAGAGACAAAGCTCCATATTTGGGGGTGCAGATGGAGGCTTCTCTGGGGGCATTCCTTCACCAGACAAAGGACACCGAAAACGGGCCAGCTCAGAGAACGAGAGACTCCACTACAGGACCCCCCCTCCCAGCTACAACTCGGCAGTAGCCCAGCCTGGGCCCACCGCCCCCTCCCTGGGAGAGTCTGAGAGAAAGACGACAACTCTGTCCTCCTCCTTGGATACCTCCTTGGACTTCTCCAAAGAAAACCAGAAAACGGGAGTCGATTTGGGCAACAGCTTAAACGTGGGCCCCGTGAGTGTAAACACTGGCCAAGAACAAGGAGAAGCCCTCCCTGGGCATCCAGCCACGGTGAATGGCTCTCTCCTACCCAGCGAGCAGGCCGGCCCCGCCAGCGCCCAGCTCCCGGGGGAGTTCCACCCCGGCTCAGAAGCTGAGCTCTGCTGTGCCGTGGAGCAAGCGGAAGAGATCATTGGGATGGAAGCCACCGGTTTCACCTCCAGTGACCAGCTAGAAGCGTTTAACTGCATCCCGGTGGACAGTGCTGTGGCAGTGGAGTGTGACGAACAAGTTCTGGGAGAATTTGAAGAGTTCTCCCGAAGGATCTATGCACTGAACGAAAACGTATCCAGCTTCCGCCGGCCACGCAGGAGCTCTGATAAGTGAAGCGAGCAGACAGACAGTAGGTCCAGGACAGGGCTACTGCCTAAAATGAGGATGAAGCTGCACTGGTTACCCTTTGTAATAATTATGACACAAAATAAATATTAATGGAGGATATTCCTCGGGAAAATACACTTTGTGAATGGAGGAGGGACTCAGGATCATTGTGTATCAGTGGGCCAGGCGAGGTTAGGTTTTGCTTGCAAGATGGGCTTTACAGGCCTGACCGTTGTTTGAAGGCAAGTCACTCTCTAGCTTGAGTCACCTTATAGGTATTCGTCTGCTTTTTTATTTGCTCTTCTATGTTATCCCCAGAGGGAAGATGATAATATATATAAAGAATATAATGAACTCACCTTTAGTTTCTCAAGCATTTGCCCTCACCAGTTTATAAAACTTTGGGAAAAAATTGAATATTTAGAAAAAGATTTCTACCATTTACTGAAGGACCTTTGGCCATTCATTAGGCTGATGAATAAGAAGCACAATAGTCTCCTTAGACCCAGGCGCATATGCCCCTCCCCTTGCCCCCATGCCTCACAGGCAACCGAGAGACTCCACTGTTGCCCCATTTCACAGTGGATGCATTGTGCACCCTGAAGAAAGGACATCAGATTCACGGGTTCTCTAATACAGTAGCTCTGACCTTCCACCTCCGCTGATCAGCCATGGCTTTGAGGTAGCCCTCAAATTCGGTGGATCCCAGGGACCCTTGAGGACCCCAAGGTTGTGTAATCAACTGGCATCCAATCCTCTTTGAGGGCCAGAGTGTTTATGTGGGCAGATGCTGCAATCAAAACTAGGCGCTTCCTGGCAGTGCACTCACCAGGCAAAATCCGCTTGTGTACAGCCCATGTTAATTTATTACATTGCAGTTGGAAGACATTGTATGTGATGAAGTATATATAGAGAGTCAGGCCATCCAATGTGCAAACTGCAAGGCAGTTGAGGTTGTCGGACTAATACTAGATGAGGTATAGAATACTATTGATATGTGTGCACTTGCATAAATATTAAATTATGTTTTTGAAGTCCAACTGTCATTCCTGGAGCTCAAATTTCGTTTGCTATTGCTTTACATTTTATTTACCCAAGGATATCGCCTCAGGGTTGCAAGTTCTTTAAGGAAAATTTATCCGTGTATCCATGTATTGTATAGAGAATAAAAATTGAGTGTACTTCACTCGACCTGATTTTTTTTTTTCCAGCTTCGAATTCCTCTTGAAACTACGTTTCCATGTATTTCGTCAAGATAGGACCAGCCCGAACAAAACTGGGGCTGCATCTAAGCTAATGTGTTGACTTCATTTGAATTTACCTGTTGTTATAGCAACACAAACACCTTCACTGGTGTACTCTCTAGTAGCATTTGTCCTACATAACATCTTAACTCATAGGTTTCATAATCATTTTCATATTTTTTCCAAGCATTCCTGGGCTTGATTTTAATTTATAGCCACATTTGAAATGGAATAGCTCATGTTGTTGTTTTCCATGTAAAGGGAACTCACAGAATCATTGCATGACAGACAGACCCAGCTCGCAAGCAATTAAAAGCTTTAACTCGATCTCAAGAAGTCCGTATGAATTCCACATAAAAAGGTAGGCTATTCCAAAGCTGGAGTAGAAGCCATCTGTAGAGGCCCAGCTTCTTTGCACTGTACTGTCATTCGTTTTAGAATCAAAGAGGGTGGAGATAGACACAGTCTAGATATACGTCAGACTGGTCTGTGGGCTCCTCCAATGAAGTAACAGTACCCCGCCCCCCCCCCCCCCCCCAAAAAAAAGGTTTTGAAGGACTGTGTGAGAATTAAACAATGGACTGTGTGAGTGAATCACATGTGATTGTGATTTTCCAAGATATGAGAGTGGACTTAAAACTATGCCAAACTCAGAGACAAGGTATGTCCACTGCAGGCCCTACAGCCTGGCTCCTGGCAGCACCACACAGAGGGCCCCACTCAGAACCCCTGTCCCGGTGTTCATCTCGGGTTCCATGCGGCCAGATGGCGCTCTGGGGCTCCATCCACGCGACTCTCGTTTGTGATTACCTGATTCCTGGGTTCACAACGTTTCACCCCCCAACAGTGCCATGAGTGTGATTAGTTTGCTCAGAGCCGATCAGTAGTTACCTATACATTTGCTTGATCCACAGGGTCCAATGATGTTAGGCCTGAAAACACCACCTAGGTTTGGGTTTGTTTAGTTTGCATTTTGTGTTTTCATTTGAATATTTTTGATGTCTGCAGTTTCTGTCATGACCTGGGTAGAACCTGCAGTATTCCATGTCTCCAGAAATAACTGTTCCAATGTCTTCCAATGCTGCAGAATTTGTTTTGCCTCTAAAGTGGCCATAGCCAAAGGATGGGATGAGTTATCATCTACTAATCTTTCTAGTCTTGTAAATCACTAAAACATCAAGTTTGCTTCAAGGATGGCTAGACGTTGAAGTGAAAGCTCACCACTATCCAATTCTGCACGACTAAGAGCCCTTACAGCTTTCATGTAGCTGAGACACTTTTAACAGCCAGCAAATGTTATCAAATGGATATTTGATTGTGTTTTCTCTCTCCACTTCCTCTTACCCACTTTAGAAATTCCAGAGATTTTTCCCCCCTCAGAATATTAGTTTTGGAAGATTGTATCCAGCTATATTTTTTTAGCAGTTCTAATGGTGCCCATTTACCCTGACCTAGCCGGTTATTTAAATAATTTTTTAAGCCACCACCAATAATAAATGGCATGTGAAACTGATCTGTTGGTAATTGGAAGAAAACTCAGCATCTGTATTTATAAAATAAAATTGATTAGTATTTATTTTGAGAGTAAAAGTGTATGTTATTTCCCTGCTATGTTTGAGTCATGTTTTCTTCATTGTTTTGAATTTCATATTGAAGCTGAGTTAAGTATGAAGACCTTGTTCTCAGTCAGCCAGCCATTCCACATTTATTAAACTAACTAGCGCTCTCTCTCTCTCTCTCTCTCTCCTCTTTCTCTGGCTAAACAAGGTTAATACAAAGATTAATAAGCCTTGACCTCTGCCACATTCTCCAGTGGAAGGGGGAGGTAGTTCTATTAACAATTATAATTCAGTGTGATTAATTATATGCTGAGGGATATGCGGCCGCCCTGTGGGGTGCAGAGAAAGCCACTCTGACTCAGGGATCGGGAAAGGTTCCTGGAGGTTAATGCAGATGGAAAGCTATGTAAGATTTCACATCACAGATGGAGGGGACCGCGTGGCAAAGGCCCAGAGGCAAGGAGGGTCTTGTGTATTTGCAGAGCAGCAAGAAGTTTGCTGTGCGTGGAGTCTGAGCGGATGTGAAGAAGGGTGAGAGAAGTTGAATTGCAGGCCCAGGGGAAGGACTTAGGTGCCAAGTCAAGAGATCTGAATGCATGCAGTGGGCAACTCCGGTGCCCCTCCCAGGCTTGAGGGAAGAAGAGTAACCTGGTTAGACCTGAATTATGACTGGCAGCCACCCTGAGGCTAGTGCAGGGGTGGGCAAACTTTTTGACTCGAGGACCACAATGCGTTCTTAAACTGGACTGGAGGGCCGGAACAAAAGCATGGATGGAGTATTTGTGTGAACTAATATAAATTCAAAGTAAACATCATTACATAAAAGGGTACGGTCTTTTTTTTCAATAGTTTTATTCATTTCCAACGCCCGCGGGCCGTAGTTTGCCCACAGCTGGCCTAGAGTGAGACTGGCTTGAGTCTCTTTCATCTTTCCTTTTTGTTTAGAAAAAAAAAACTGTCTGAAAAAGAGGTGCATCCATGTGGCCCTCACGTTTCAGGGTAAAGATTGAATAGCAAACGAGGTTTACTGTGCGGTACGAAGAGCTCGGCCAGCATCCACTTTTGAGAAGCGTCATTCTGAACCCCCGATTCAGCCACTGTGAAGCTCTGACAGGTCAAGTCATTGTACTTTTAAGGACCCCCACTTTTCAATCTGTAGGAGCTCAGAGAGAATTCTGCCCTTGCCATTCTGCTTGTATGGGGCCTGCACCCTCCTTGTTGGTTCCCTTTTGTCCTGTGGAGGCCACTGCATAGTGACCGGGCCCCTGAGACTTGTTACCACCATTACGTGTTCCAGCGCTTGGGCGAAGCCGCTTAGGCTCTGAATCCCGCTCCCAGTCTGACGTGGGGATAATACCACGCACTCCCTCCCAGGGTTGCACAGTGTGAAAGAGAAACATGGTTAAGAAAGCGCTTACTCTTTGTGAAGCGCCGTGCACATGGGGAGGAGCCAGCATTCAACAGGGATTTCTTGCATCATGTGTCTCAGGCTGTGGTGGGACGGTTTCTCATTCTGTGCACACTGAGGGTGTGCCAGGACGCAACTAAGCTCTAAACAAATGTCACGTGTTTCAGGTGTTTGGGTGGGTGGCATGGACACAGTGTTGAGACACAGGCCAGAGGCCTCATGAGCTTAATTTTCATCTATCTTAACACCTGGCAGGTGGACTTAGGCCCACCTCACCCAGAAATGTTCTCTCACAGCTTCGGCCGCCTTGCTGATTGCTGAGTTGGTGCCCAGAGCTCTTAATTTCCTTCAAGTAGATAGAAGCCCTTTTTATTTTTTTCCTTTTCCTCTTAGCGCATCTAATTACAGTTTTGTAGGTAGACAGCTCAGCCTTGTGGATTTTAAATGAATAAAAAATACATGTCTATAAAATAATTCCACACTTTGTAGAGACTGGTAGTGTCAGCAATCCAGAAAAAGGGCAGCCGTGCATGGAGATAAACATGAGAAGAATGCAGCCGGTGTGCAATCGCTGCAGCCAGCCAGGCCCCGGCCCAGAACGCCAAGGGGAGAGCACAGGCGCGGATCCCTTCGGTTTTGTACAAAGGGGCTTCTCACCGTCCCGCTAGATCACAGGCAGCACATCCGGAAGGAATGGAGAGTGGGAGTGGACAGACATAAGGACTCACCTGACTCTGAGAAGCGCCTACAAGCAGGCAGGAAGGAAGCAGTCTGGGCCCTCAGTCTGAAGACAGCCAGGCAGGTGCAGAGCCCTGCCCTGCCGCTCACTGGCTGTGTGACCCGGGCAAGGCGCTTGACCTCTCTGGGCCTGTGCCCTCCTCCTCAGCCAGGCTGAGGTTTTTCCTGAGGCCGGGACAGAGACTCCGCCTGCTCCAGGGGTTCATTGTGTCCCTTCCTCAAAACCTGTCTCAGGCTGCCGCGGTGCCCAGAGCCTGGCAGGACAGGGGGGACCCTCCTCACTACTTGTTGTGAAGCACTTGGGGTACCACTGGGGCGGCTGGGGCTTCTCAGGGCTTTTGAAGGAAATTCCTAGGGTTTAGGGGAGAGGATTGGCTGGCTGCCCGGGGGTTCACCGTGGCTGGGGTTGCCACCTGGATTGGAGTCACCTCCTCCCCTGGCTCCCTGCAGCAAGCACGGCGACCTGTCCCCGTCAGCTGTAACCCTGAGAGCTGTGGGTAAAGGGAAGGATCAACCGTTGACTTACCTTCCCTGCACGCATTGCACACACTAGTTTACCTGTCGGTTGATGAGGCAAAGTTTCTCTTACAGAAATATCCCAAGTGAAAAGATTTGGAAGGGCTAGTAGAGTGAGACTATCACCACGTGGCACCTGCTATGAATTCATGCCTCTGGGACAGTGATCACCAGTGGCTGCTCGTGTCACAAAAAGAGAGAAAAGCACACAGTGTGTGCCTCTTGATGGGAGAGCACAGCACCGATGAATGAATTCTTGGCAAATGCTCGACCCTGATTATGACCACAGCACTACCTGTGAGGCCCAGGTAGCCCCCAGCCATGGTGACTAGTAATTGAAAAGTGGCTCGGCCAAAGTAGGACGTGCAGGACGTGTAAAATTCACAGTGAATTTCAGAGACGTGCTACAACGATGGGCTGTAAAGAATGCTTTCATTTTCATATTGATTCCATGTTGGAAAGTGAATATTTTGGGTATATTGAATTAAGTAAAATATATTTTTAATTTTATCAGTTTCTTTTTACTTCTTACAATGTGACCACTGGAACGGTTTTAATGAGGTGTGTGACGTGCATTTGTGGCTCACTGTGCGTCACACGTTCCACCAGCCCCTAGTACGCTTTCTCTGTGTGTCTCCCTAGGTGTCCCCTCCAGCAGCCCTGCGCCCCCGCGGCAGGCACCTGTGTGAAGGCACAGAGAGTGCGGGGAGAGTTTACTGGGTCGGTGCCAGTGTGCAGAGCGCCCTTTGTACAGAGGAGGCAGGTGAGGCTGAGAAGTCAGTGTCATCGCTCAGTTCACAGAGTTAAAATGTGGCAGGACTTGAAACCAGAACCTCTGAGTCATTTCTCATTACAGCTGAGCTGCAGGACACAGTTCCCTTTGTCCATTCGTCTGTTCAGCATTGACTGGGCGCCCCCTGTTGGCCGGGCACTAGGTGGACATGGGGGGGGGGCGGGGGTTGTGAAGAAAACCCATAGTGCCACCATGAGAGTGTAACTTGAGCCCACTTTGCCCTGGATCTCAGGCAAGCGTCCTTTGGGGAAGCAACATGTAAACACATTTGAAGCTAGAAAGCCCATTCCAGGCCGAGGGGACAGGTATTCAGAGCCTTGAGGTAGGAGGGAGCATGGCACATGGGAAGGACTCAAAGGTAACCCGAGGGCTGGGGGGAGTGAGGAGGGATGGGGCTGGAGAGGCGGGCAATGGCCAGGTTTTCTCAAACTGGGGTTCACAGCACCACCCTCCCCCCTGCCCAGTTTTCTCCCCACCGTATTTTGCATCGTAGTATTGATTTAAAACGAACAAGAAGAGCACACACCCTGGCCCCTCTGGCTGGGCCCCGTGGGACTCGGCTTCGCTGTTGGCCCCGTAGCTGCATGGCCTTCCCACTGGCATGAGGAATACTAGCATCTCCGGCAGGTTTTAACCGACAGTCACAGCCCAGGTGTGCAGAATGAAACTTCACTTCCCCGTAACCGCCCTCATGCCCTCTTCAGCTATTGCAGAAAATTCTTGGTCTTGCCGCTTCGAGTAGTATTCCATTGTGTAGATGTACCGTAGTTTTTTAATCCAGTCATCTGCTGATGGGCACTTAGGCTGTTTCCAAATCTTAGCTATGATGAATTGTGCTGCTATGAACATAGGGGTGCATATATCCTTTCTGATTGGCGTTTCTGGTTTCTTGGGATATATTCCTAGTAGTGGGATCACTGGGTCAAATGGGAGTTCCATTTTTAGTCTTCTGAGGTAGCTCCATACTAGGTCTTGCCGCTTCAAGGCAACTCAGTCACTTCTGGTTAAAACTTTCCCTCTTTGGGGTCAGGGTTCAAAGTCCCAATCCTCCCTCACCCCACCCATCAGCCACTCTGACCCCAGGTTCCGAGTTTCTGAGAGTGTCGCTAGCCTGCCCCTGGTCGGCTCACCTGGTGTCGGCGCTGGCCTCCACTGTGAGGCCCCTCTGTGGTTCTGGTCCCCAGGTCCTCTCGCCTGGGTCATTCTTCTCCATGCCCAGACCTCAGATCTGTGTGGCACCCGTGGGGAGGGGCCTAGGCCCCTGCCCACTCTCTCTCATGCTCTGAGGCTGCCCTCAGGCCCACCTGCCTGGACCTCCCCTCTGCTGGTTGGCCGCGGGGACACCTGAGGAACACGGAGCTCCTGTGAAGACTTGCCTAGAATCTTCCTGGCAGACCCTGGGCAGCTGGGTCCCTTGTCTGCCACTGGCCAAACCCATGTCCTATTTAGACCCCAGATGGGGGCAGGGACAGGGGAGGTCCAGCCCCTCTCAGACTCGGCAGCCTTTTGACGTTGGGGTCCAGCTTTTCCCTTCTAAATAACCCCCCTGCGGCTCTTCAGAC